CAGCAGGACTCAGGGCCAGCTCACAAGGCACGGATGACCCAGGAGTGACTGTGGACGAATGTCCCCGACTTCATTTCAATTTCACAATGGCCCCCTTACTACCCCAATGTGAACACCCTAAATTTTCTAATTTGGTCCATCTTGGAGAGCAAAGTGTGTGCTACAAAGCACTGTTCTTTGGATTCTCTCAAGCTATCCCTGAACCAAGAATCAGAGCGAATTCCACAGGAAGTCTGGCGAAAATCAGTCAATGCTTTCATGGATGGTCTGAACCTTGTCATCCGTGCCAAGGGGGGCTATATTTAAAACTATTAAGTAATTCTAAATCAGTTAACTGTCCTTGTTATTGTGTATTTAAAAAATTTCCTGATTTTTAAATTTTTGCTGAGGTTATTGGCATATTGCAGTGGGACACAACTTTCTTAACACCCTGTATTAGTAATTACCTTAACATTTACCTTAAAATATTATCTACACAGAGAACTGCAATCCACTCCTAAAGGTTCACAATAAGAAATGTAGGGGGAAAAAAAGAGGAACTAAGTGTTGTCCCTTTCCAGAGGGATATTCTTTTGTTCCTCCTTTTTTTATACTTGAAAGAGTCTGAAGAAAAAAAATGATTTTTTATATGTAGCTGAAGCTCAGACAGATGTAGATGAAACAACTATCCAGCTATTAAAGCACCCAATATTATATTACTCCTCCCAGAGCAATGAAGACACTGCAACTATCATTACTTCTTAAATGCACCTCATATCATGTTCTCTATGCAACCAATCCAGTATGCTTGCATCAACCAGTTGATTGAAAGAAATTAATCTGACTGATGATCATGAACTCTTTTGTATCTTACTATCCCATGTGAATGTGTTTCTCATGATGATAGGAAGATGTTACAAAATGGAAATCCCTAGCACTTACAGTGGTGGATGGGTTAAGTAACTTGGACCATATGAAAGGAGGTAGCATCCCTAGTTTCTAGGTAATCCATATGTGCTCCTTCTTAGTATGCACTCAGCTCGCCTTTTCATGCACAAGTCTTAATTTGGATCATCAATAACTCAGAAACTATGCAAGCATGCACTTGCACATGACTCCTCATAGCACCTGCAGTACTTCATCCAGAGCCATGCATAGATTTCATGGAGCTTTCATGGAGTTCAGGCAAAATATTTTGACACATTCAAGTAATAGTACTTTTACCATATCTAAAGTCACCATTCAATGCAGGCACTCACAATGGCATTGGAGACTTGAAGCATTTCTTCAAAAAGGGATTCTTCTTGCTTGTGTCGGCCACTAGTGTCCACAATAATGATTTCAAATCCCTCTTTCTTAAACATTTCTACTCCTTCTTGGGCTATCACAACAGGATCAACTTCTGTGTAACTAGAATGGGAGAGATATATAAAGAACTTCATGAATGTACAAATTCACAATATCAATGAGGCAGAGGCTACATGGGTCCAAACCCTTGCCAACAAAGTCAAAAGTATCATCTCTCCAATCTTCATTAAATTAGATGCAGAGGTTTTTGCCTATGGAGAAATGAAAGCATGCCCAATTCTCATAGTCCAGGGAGGAATGGTACCTGAGGTATAGCATCCAAATATGTTGGGTCATAACATCAACAACCTGACAAAAGGCAGAATATATGTCTTGAAAATCATAAAATAACCATTTATCCTTTTTTGCCATTTTCCAAGAAATGAAGAATGGAAATTGATGAATATTCACATTTCCACTAGAGAGCTGCCACTCAGATAGCAGACCTCTAGGGCAAATTCAAATAATCATGAATTCTTAATCTATTATTTGTTAAAATTGGACAAAGTTCCTCCTGAAAATGTTCAAAATTGCATCTTTACCCATTGGTTGGGTTGATGATAATTAGGGCTGTCACAATAGATCGACGCATCGATATCACTATTGATAGTTGGATATATTGAAAGTTTTTCAACTATCACGATGCATCGACAAAGTATTTTAAAGGGGAAATGTCCCATTGGATTGAGGTGAGTACAGTGCAATTCAGTCTGTCTGGGCGGGAAAAGGAAGAAGCAGCGCGACACGCATAGGCTTGCGATTTCTTATCACAATCAAATTCTGGAAATGCTAGGACTGATTATAAGAAAGACAGGAAGGGAGAAAAAGTTGGATCAGAGACAGGAAGTGTGAAAGGAGAGGAGGGAAGACCAAGAATATTTCTTTTTCTTCTGTTCCTGTCTTCAGCTCTATCTCATGAAGTGCATGCTGTGGAAGTGGACTGTTCTTATACTCCCTTGATTTCGAAACCTACATTGGCTAATCCCCTCTCTATATTTATGTCAATTATGCAGGCTTAACTTTCTTAATTTTTAACTTGCCCTGAGGCATTTAACTCTACTTAAGGTGAACTCAAAGTGAAATTTTTACATGGACGTTGCTGATTCTAGGGCCGATGTTTCAGCAACTGCTGGTATGGCACCATCAGCAGGTTTCCTATCTGGTGGTGCCGATGTCCAAAGGCATTGTAGAATGAAGAAAAAGAGAACAAAATTACATGAACAGGGCTTGGCAGCTGATTCTTAACGGCAATAGGAAAAAATTAGGGCTGTCCTGATGTATCCATCGATAAATGGATGTCATCTTCAATAGTTGGAGGCATGGTAGGTTTCATTGCTCTCTGCAAAGGTCACACATTCCCCCTGCACCCCGATCACAAGCGTGAGATAATGAAAGCCGGATAGAGGTCTGTGCACTGATCACTGCGAGAAAATATGGAATCCTCTGGCCCCCCCCTTGATGCATCGATACACTATCAATAGTTCAGATCGATGCATTGATGTTTTGAAAACTGCTATTGTGACAGCCCTAATGATAATGTGGTGTAATTTCAGTGGTAACCCTGAACGAGTCTTACTTTCTAGCTTCTGTTCTCATCAACCCTTTAACCCTAGCTTCCATACCTGTACCCACCCCACACCCTAGGTTCCTGTCCGATTTTTTGCGAATTGGTTTGTTCGCTCTCATACAATACAAACATATTTATTGTGGCTTTCTGACTAGAGCAATAGTTGGTGCCTGACAAAGATTGGTCAAGCCGTTTCCTAGCAATGCGTCATAGCAACTGCCAGGTCAATATAGCCATCTGGCAGGTCAGAGCACCTGTTGCTCAGGCCAGAAAACTGGCCTGACAGGTTCAGAGGGTAAAGCTTAGGAAGTTCATTCATAAAATTTTTTTCTACAAAAGCCCTTTTCAAGGCCATTGCAATAATTAAAATATTAATATTGGCTGATCAGAAAGAAACACAAGATTGAAAGATGTCTGATTACTGGCCCTGAACAAGACAAAATGTCTCATTACTATCTTTTGCCTTCCAACTTTTAAGACAGGAATTTTATTGTCATCAAGATAATGTTTTAAGTTTCACAAAAATACTGTATTTACCATGGCAGATCACTCCTCATTGAAAACAAACAGTTACATACACATCCTGTAGGTGGCATAGAATGAAAACTTGTGACAACCAATGCAACCAATAATAAAAGTAACTGCCAATGAAATCATATTCACCAATCATTTATTTGGGAATTAATGCTCCTATATATTTTTTTTCCCACAAAATAATTCTGAAAAAGTAAAGAATCTCTCAAGAAATATGGGACGAAAACCTATCAGTTAAAAACCAGCAACATTCCAAACTACCAGGAAGGAATCAGGTCTGGTCAAACAATGTCCCACAGATGAGATCAATATCATTGAAAAATATACACTCAACATAGTTAATATTAGGGCTATCATGATAGGTCAATGCATCAAACACCACTCTTGATGGTTGGAAGTATCACTAGATTTCTTGCTGATTGCAATGTATTGACAAAATTTTTGAGGGGGAAATGCCCCATTAGATTGAGATGAATACAATACAGGGCAGGGAAAAAGAGAGGCAGAGTGATCTGCATGGGCTTACAATTCCCTATCATGATCAAATCCTGGAAATGCTGGGACTGACTATATGAAAAACAGGAAAGAAAAAAAAAACATGTTGGAATCAGAGACAGAAAGAGGGAAAAGAGAGTGAGGGAAGAACGGCAAGATTTTTTTCTCCTCTGTTTCAGTCTTTGGCTCAATAGGTGCATGCTGTTAAAGTAGACTGTTCTTTTGCTCCCTTGATTTTGAAACATACATCAGGTAATCCCTCATTCTATATTTCTGTTTTTCTCTTTAGTGGAGGCTTAAGTTTCTTAATTTTTAACTTGCACTGAGACAATTTAACCTCTTTCCTTAAAGTGAACCCAAAGTGAATTTTTACACTGATGTTGCTTGAATCTAAGGCTGTACCAATGTATGGGCAACTGCTGGCATGGCACCATTAGCCAATGTCATAAGACCGTGTAGAAAGAAGAAAAAGAGAAAAAAAAACAATATGTGAATGGAGCTTGGCAACTGATTAAAAAATTATGAAAAAAAATTGGGCTGTCCTAATTTATCCATGGATGTATGTCTTTTTTTTATAGTTGAAGGCATGGTAGGCTTCATTACTCATTGTAACAGTCACACCTTCCCCCTGCACTCTCCAATCACAAACATGAGATTAACCCTTTGAGGAGTATGCCCATATATTTACAGGCTGATGCTTTTCTGTCCTCCATATATTCACTACAGGGGATCTTGCAGGCATTAAAAAACCCACTCCTCAAGGGGTTAAGGAAGATGGACAGTGGCGTAGCGAGGGGGGGGCTGGGGGGGGCTTCAGCCCCCCAAGTTTGGTTCAAGCTCCTCCAACTCTGGTCGAAATGCGTCCGCCCCAACCTGACAAGGCGAAGTTAGCCCCCCCAACGTTCCGCTTAGCCCCCAATTAGCCCCCCCATTGACGAAAACCTGGCTACGCCACTGAAGATGGATAGAGGTTCACACCCCAATCAGGGCAATAAATGACAGAAGTCAAACTTCTGCCCAATGGCATAAAAAAAAAACCTGAATCTTCTGGCTCCTCCCACATGCATCATAACATCATTGATAGTTCAGGATGATGCATCAATGTCTTGAAAACTGCCATCATGACAGCCCTATACAATATTCTAGACTTCTCTTAAAATCTAGTGAAAATATTTTTCCAGTTCAGCTGGAGCAACAAAAATGCAACCTACCAAAACCTTACCTAATTTTTATCTCATTTCAAGTGATGGAAAAATACATTCAAGAATGCTTCTGCCCTTGAGTGAATGGATCTATTGCCCTTTTAAACATTTGCATGTTTCTCAAGTCACCATGTAATCTCAGTTAAAAGTGTGAAAACCCAATCATGTCATATTGGCTGAGGATACAAATTCAAAAATCTTAAAACTTAATACAAATGCAACCTTGAAAACTAGTGAGTAGTGGCACTGTATATAGCTCAGTGGTACTCAAAGTGCAGCCCACGGGCTGCATGCGGCCCACTTCGTGGTTTTTTCACACTTTACCATTTTATCGGCACTGATGAATAATGGCGATTAACAATTTTTTCATTCCCAGATTTTGAATCCTTCACTGAAAACTAAAAAATTTAGTTGTTGCTTAGATATTTAGGTACATATAATACCAGTTTACATTTAGCTGCTTATGTATTTTGGTGTGCACCTACTAAATGCCTAACATTCGGAACCTCCATATACTGCAGGGAAAATATGTCCTTCCTCGCAAGTGAATGAAGTTAAGGCTAAAGAAATAAGTATTTATCGAAAATACAACTTGTAACAAAGCAGCTCCCAGAATTGATGCGTTTACATGAGCCCCAACTCCAAGTAGTAGCATTTTTCATTATTAAGAGAAGTGGAAATGTGAGTGGATATGGTAGGAATAAGCAGTTTTCAATTGCTGTTAATTTTTTTAATGGGACTTCCTGGTTTAGAGTAGCTTGACAAGATCAATGGCCAGATGAAGGGTTAACCATGCAGAAATGTTGGATCTTTTTCATTGCTGCCCACTCCAGGTTGACTAACATTGCTAGTGTGGCCTACTCAAAGTGGACCAAAATGTCTATGTGGCCCTTGCCTCAAAAAGTTTGGGGACCACTGATACAGCTTTAGGATGATGCATGCAAATTTGAAGGAAAACAAATATTTAACACTGCCATATTAACCCAGCAAGCATGTAATTTTCTTAGCAAAGTTGAATCCAAAACAAGTAAACATTAATTAACTGCAGCAATAATTGCAGATCTATAGTGTTTTATTAATGAATTCCTTTATTTTATCCTAATATGTAAATATATAGTGCAGAACATGATACATTACCACTTAAAAAACAGATGTAGTGCATCAGGGACATTGGTCATGATGGATCCATCATACCCACATGAAGGTTAAAGTCAAAGTCAAATCAAAGTATATATGAAATCCTCACCAACACATGCTCACAACCTTTGAATTTCTGAAAAAAAAAAACCTTGACTACAGCTAAGACAAAAAGCTGTACATGAAATCCATCACTTCTGAAGACAGAAATTATGAAGCAAAAACTGTTATGGGTCACTGCCAGGAAATCATATGACCCAGCACTTTAGAACTCCCCAGGACCACAAAACTAAACTGCCTTCATTTCTTCATGGACCAAACCATGGAGAAATTCAATGAAACCAAAAACAAACTTAATGCAAAAATGAGAGACACTACACCAAAATATGTAGTGACTTGAAGAGGCATCACCCTCATACTCACCTGCCATAGAATGGAATACGAGCTTTGGTAGCATTTTGCTTCAGTTGGTCATATGCACCAGCACGAAATGTATCTGCACAAACAAGACAACTCTTCCAGCCTCTCTTCTGGTAGTAGTAGGCAAGCTTAGTACATGTTGTAGTCTTTCCAGAGCCTTGAAGACCAACAAACATTATGATGCTGGCTCTACCCTTTGAAGGTTGGTATGACTTCACACCTGGATCCACCAGCTGGAAAAATATTTTATGAGCAAACATTTTCAATGCATCAACCTCCCAATTCTGCAAGAACAAGAGTATTTTGAGGTCTTATATATATCCTGTGAGCACATGCAACTTTTCACTTCATTCAATATACCTCATTCTTTTCAAGATTTGCTTAGCTCACCTTCATGAGTTCTTTGAAAACTGCACTCTGGATAATACGCCTCTTATTGAGGCCTCCTGCCATTTCTTCAAAGTTGATGACAGATCGAACATTCTGGCGTAATTGAGCTACCATCCTGACATTCACATCTGCTTCCAGCAAGGCAGCACAAATTTCCTTGAGCATAGATTCCAGGACCTACAAAAGAGATAATTGACAGGTTCAAGAGTTTAAAAGTATCAAAACTAGATTCATGAAATTAGCAGGAGAAGGGAGGACATTAAGCCCACAGTTAGTCCTAAGAGGACTATTACTGATAGAACCACTGCAGAAGAAAGTCAGGGAGGTCAAACTCACATCTTCATTGATGAGAGTTGCATTGCTCAAAGAGCGCAATGCATGCGTTATTTTCCTCCCAAGGTCTGCTAAAACCATTTTGAAATTCCTGTTTGATTGTCACAGTGCTCCTCTTGAGGCAAAAACTCAGAAAACGGCTGGAAGCTAGGCCAACCTAGAATCAGCCTAGAATTGATGTTACAGCAAAGTAGTGAATGACATTTCACATCAAATGTCCATCTGATTATTTGCAAGGATCAAGGAACCAGTCAGAATTAGAGTTCAATTTCATGCCAATGAAGAAACCTGTAGAGAAACAAAATACTCCTCTCAAATCAATATCAACCAGCTATCAATGTCTTTCCAATCTCAGCACCTGTGACATGCCAAGTAGAACGCACATACTCTACAACCATTCAACCATAATACTCTTAAACCCATTCAATCTATTCAACACAGCCTAACCAATAAGGCTGTTGCACTTTGACCTTCCAGTTAAATGCTGATTCCTAAGCAGGCATTTCAATATATGCCTTGACCATTCAGCTAAGCAGAACCAAAACTCTTCTCACACAAGGCCAAACTTTCTCAAGAGCACATAGAAAATTTTCACTTTGACTTCATACCCCATTTAGCATCACCCATGATGGTACTCCAAACATCTGAAAGTTTCAACCAGTTAAATGACACTGGCCCAAGTGAAGATGGTGCAAAGTCATAGAGAAATCATTCCTAGTATCATTCCCTTAGACATATTCCATTTACAGTTGCCCATCGGACACAGTTAACCGTACGCAGTGTGTAGGGTTGCCCAGGTGACTGTACCCCCTAGGGATATAGTGTTTCTCCTTAAGTTAGGCCAGGTTAGGTTAGGGGGGTGGGTGTGGTGTGTATTACATATAATAGGAATCCCAATCAATTAAGATTCCAGGTGACTCTACTCACACTCAGTTAACCAGATGCATTTGGTTAACTGTAAGTGGAACAGTGCCTGTTACGCTAAGTGGGCATAAGCCTACTCCAGTGAAAGGGATCTACATGATCCTTGGGCCGGCCGCACAGTGAAATATAATTGGGAAGCGAATATCATATATGTATGGGACCTGCTTCATTAGATAGAACACATGGTGAATGATTAGGCTCCGCACACTGGCAAAGCATGCTTCAACTCGTGGTCCCTTCAATGAAGCGTGTATAAAATACAGCTTCATCGGATGGAATGCGTGGCAAACTATCGGGCACCACGCACTTGTGAAGCAAACTTCAACTCGTTCAACCTGTTGTGTTCCATCCAATGATGTGTTTATGATACTCTTTTCACAAAAATGTTTCACCCAGATGCAGCAGGGCTTGAATATGTATGCATTAAGGAATCATAGCATCATGACCAAGTTACGCGGGCAGCCATGATGGTGAATTGCAACCATGACGTCTCCTCACTTCCACGTGTCTGGGCGTTTTCGTTTGTTCGAACATGTTTTTCTCCTCGAGCGGTCTGTGATTCGCAATCGAATATCACCAGTCGGTTACAACGTTTTCGAATTGAATTCCGTAAGCTCATAGTAGCCCTTCCATCGATTGCAAGCAGTGACATCCTCCAGATGGGTCAATAGCGCAACCAAGGTGTGGGGGAGGTCAGAAAGTTTAACTCCCCCACCGCCAAAACTCGAATCTGGTTGCACCACTGATATGGGTGGCTTCGTGAACTTTCAGAGGTTACGCTTCTGATGAAACGTATCCTCTGAAAGTCATGCTTTCTCCGTTCTCCACTACAAAAGGGTGGGATACAAACTCAATTTGAATATGGTTTATGCCACCTTGACTGCTGCGTTGCCCGTTAGAAAACTGGCTAACAGCTTATCAATGCTGTAGGTCCAATTTATCAATGCCTTGATAAATTGGACGATGAGATTGCCAAGAAATCTTAGCAATGTCTCGCGTATGAATGTTGTTGCACACCTTAACAAAAAAATTGCTAGTTGGAAATCCTCTCATCACGCTACTGCGTCTAGTCAAAATAGGTACTCTTCTATAAGCTTAAGCGTACCCACTGACAGATAGCAGAGAAGAAATCCATCTCATTCGACTTGTGAATCTTTTCGTCCTAGCACACCCCCCCCCCCCCCCCCCCCCCTTCGAGATTAGAGACCTTTGAGTGCATCGTTTTCTTTGTTAGCCCCATAAATGAAGTTCTCAATCTCCTTAGATCAGAAGATTGCCATCTTCCCTAACCAAACTGCAGTGGTGGTCGTCATTAACTGGAGGAAGCTACCTGGGAGACGAGCGCATTTTGGCATTACCTGTTTTTGACAAGGATATTTCGTGCTACGTGGCACACCCCTACCAGATCGACCGAGAGCCCAAACACCCTGTCCCCCCTGCCAGGACGACGATGTTCGCCCAAATGAAAGTACATACCAAGAAAATTGGCATGGATTTATTTTCTTGCATTCTACGCGTAGCGGCGGCGTACTTCAGCGCGCTTTTTATTCGCATGCACTGGATCAGAGGGAAGAGGGGCTATATCGGGCTATATGCATCCCGTAATGGCGAAGCACGCATCTGCCAAGGGTGAATCTGCATGGTACAAACACTTAATGTAGCCTGGAATTATCGTCATTGGTCTTATTCAATTACTTTCAATTGCCATGCATATAACCTGGAAATCCCAAATAAAAAATGGTGGGTTGCAAGAACCATATCCGCTGAGATAAGTTTGGATCAGATGATGCTATCTTGTGAGGCCAATCAGGTTTCTGTTTGTCTTTTGCCTCTTTAGCGAAAGTAACCTTTTGCGTTATGCATCCAGACCCGCCCAGAAGGTGGGCCATTGGGGGCAATCTGCCCCGGGCCTCGAGTATCAAGGTTGCCCCAAGGGGAGCTCCAATGAGATCCCATGCCAAGTCCCCAAAAGGGCCTATCCAGCCATCCCCATCCATACAATGGCCTCCGGTTTTATTTTGCCTCGGGCATTTGGAAACTTCTGGGCGGGCCTGTGTGCATGCTATTTCTTTTTTGCGTCCAACGAAATGTGGGCATAAAGTAAAAAAGTGTAACTATAGGCGACACTCCGAGGGGTAGGGGTGGGATCGAACTATTACAGAGACATCTGGTGACATGTCAACAACACTTCCGTGAGGCGTGCTTCGTGGCAGCGGAATCGGGAATCGACTCATTCGGGGATTCAACCTGAAGGGGAGTCCCTCGACGTAATAAGCGTGTCTGGTTGAGTCCGCTGCTTGGTCGTGGATAGTACGCACGCTAGGTGGAGGATAGACAGTGACATCTAAATTGCGACTGTCAATGAATGACAGTCAAGCGGAGTGTCGCCTCTAGTTACACTCTTCACTCAATGGGCGTGGGTATGTCTACTCCCATAAGAAATGTGACGATAGGCCTACGGGACCCGTGTTAAAGGTGGCTCCGTATTAATTTGCAATCATTGCATGCATGCATCGGTTGTAGGAAGGATGAGAAAAAAAGGTAATAGTATAGTACGCGTTAACTTAAGGAATACTGTAAAATGTGTCATTTTAGGAACGAACCACCTCTCGGGGGCATACCCAGAGACAAGAGGGAGATGGTTCCGATAAGGCTGACGAGCCTGAGGGGAGGGGCGGGGGGGCGTTGTCAGGGCCAAGCCCCTAACAACGCCTCCCGCCCCCTCCCTGAGTTCGCCCCTGCCATGGGTATAGTACATGTCCACCCCCAAGTTCAAACTAAGTCACAAAGAAGTTCCCCTATATAAACAGCTTTCTCAGTACCCACTTCATGGCGGAAATAGGAATGGCTGATCTACCGCGGACCCGAGACCCTAACATCATCGAGATGAGAGTTATTTGCTCTGACAAGGCGGCTACTCTGCGATTCCTGCAAGAAGAGAGGCTCATACCCACGAGCAGGCCCTTCCCAGCCCAGATTGCGCCGAACCTTGCTTGGCAAGGGCATAGGCGGCCCCGGATTCCCGTTGGTCGCAGGATTCCTTGCCAGTTGTCTGCAAACTGCACCGGCTTGATGTACGAACGGCAGAAGCCCGATCGGAATCCGCAGTTCCATTGCACTACCTGCAAGAAGACTCGCTCCATTCTGTCAGAACTGCCTGTTCCGCTCGTCCAGCCCCAAGTTGCACAAGCAGTAGTGGCGCATCGGTCATGGTTTGCCAACCTCGACGCAAATGGACGAAACCAAACTAAGTTGCCTTTCAATGTATCCGTGATGCTGATATTTCTTTGGAGCAAGAGCATGCCACACTGCCAGGTCAAAGATCTCCTTGGAAGCCTGCTCGGCGCAAACAACGTGACCGTGTCTGACTGGTTCAACTATTTGCGGGAATTGCTGGTCGCTGCTTTCAACGCTTCACCACCAATAGGAGGGCCAGGAAGATCGATGAGTCCTTCATCCGAGGTCGTCGAAAAAACAACCAGGGCAGGATCATGGGCGGGAACGAAGTCCCGCCAGCTCGCCGGAACTATGGAAATCGCATAGTGGGGCCATGGGTCTTTGGAATGTGCCAGCGTTTGCCGAATGGGAAAATGGATCGACGGATGTTTCATGTCCTCGGAAGAAACGAAGACACCCTCCGCCCAATCTTCACTAGAACAGTCCTTCCTGGAACAACCGTCTGGTCGGACGAGTGGGCGGCCTACAGAAGATTGAGCCAATGGGGTCAGGGGACCACCACCAGACGGTTAACCATTCGGCCAATTTCGTTGACCCGATCACCGGCGCAAATACTCAGGCAATGGAACGACAGTGGAGGGATCTCGAAATGAACCTGCTGCGAAGGCAGAATGGTTTCTTCAATGCAACATTGACCTCCCACTTGGCCGAGTATTGGTGGAGGGGACTTCACAGCGAGACTCCGTTCTGGGACATCCTTGCTGAGATCAGACGGCAGTACCCAATGTGATGATCTATCCCGGACGTGAAAAAACCTTCAGTACTTTTGATGTTTCTGAGTTCTTAATTGTGTGGGTTTTTTTACGCAATAAGTGTGGGCCTAAGTGGACGGTCTTGACCAAGTGGACATGTACTATACCGATGGCAGGGGCGAACTCAGGGAGGGGGTGGGAAGCGTTGTTACCCCCCGCCCCCCCCCCCCCCCCCCCCCCCCCCCCCCCCGCCCCCCCCCCTATTCTACATGGTCTCAGCTTTAATTAGAGTCTGAAAACGCGTTTGTAGCTCGACTAGGACCAAAGATAGCGCTTTAACCCTAAAGGCCCCTTTTCCTCTTGGGGGCGAAGTTTGGGGCCGCATATCTCGAAATCCGGTAGCACCAGAAGGCCAAAATTTTGGATTTTTTTTGCATAAGTCT